GATTTATTCAGTGACTGGGATAATTGGGATGGGAGTGTCAGAGACAGTGCGATTGACACAGGACAGAGCGGAGTTTAGGGCTGTTGTATGTAGGGTCGCTATGAGTCGCAAGTGACTCGACGGCGCATAACAACAACAACAACACAATCTGCTATGTAAATAAATTTTCACAAAGATATAGTAAAGTAGTATTTAAGGGGGGGAAAAAGCAGGCAGATCAAACGGTGCTTATATATGAGATAACCACATGTGAACTCTTTATATGATAAAGACATCATGAAAGCAACACAGTGTGTATAGGATGTTACCATTTGTTTAAAAATACAGTTTTACATTTGTTGTAAGTAATGTATAGATAAATAAAAAGAAAACATATCTGCTGTAGGTAGACATTGTGGTTGGAAACTAGAGTGGCAATGAGATTTCCATTTAACTCTAAGCCCTTTCAGAACTGCTATATATTATTTGCTTACGGTTGGTATTGTTGTGTGCCGTCAAGTTGGAACTGATCCATAGCTGACGCTCCAGCAGATTTTCTGAGGTGGTTAGTCATACGGGAGTAAATTGCTCATCCTTCTCCCACAGAGCAGCTGGTGGATTAGAGCTTCCTACCTTTTGGATTGCAGGGCTGCTGCTTATCCCTAGACCTCCAGCTCCCATAATTCTTGCTTATATTATGTATTAAAAATATAAAAATTAAATTTTTGAAATGAAAGCTAACAAAAACCATAAATAACATTTATTCTTCTTTTTTTTTTTTTTTTTTTTACTTCAGGCGTATTTGATGAGACCTTCTATTATATTTTTTGATGAAATAGACGGATTAGCTCCAGTTCGTTCTAGTAGACAGGATCAAATCCACAGGTAATTTTCTGTATGCACTTACGTTTTCTTTTAACTCATTCACTCGATATTTAGCCAGTAGCCATTTGCTAAGTGCTGTGAGGTGTACAAAGAATCTGAAAGTGTAACCCATAGCCTCATAGAAATTTTAATTGAAAAATTGTGTTTAAATTATGATTAAGTGCACTAATTATGAAAAACTGTGAAGAGTTGTAAGTAAGTTTTTGGAGACAGAAAAGCTCTCCTAGGAATATATTTCTCAAAAGAAAGGAGGGCAAAGGGGATAGAAAAAAGGAGAAGGGTGGAAATCACTAGAATAGCGGAGTTTAGCGGATGGAAGGGTGAAGGAATAGGAAACATTCAGTGGGGACTTGAGAAGATGGCGTAAGGATAGGCACAGAACAATAGTAATTGATGATATAAAATACAGTGTATATGAATGATATGCAAAGCAAATGAAAGCATGTACAGAACACAGTATACAGGTATATTAACTTTGTAGGTAAACCAGTATCAAATAAAAAAAATTAAATAAAACTACCCCAAACAATACAATATATATGATTGAAACACAGTGTAAACCAATTATTGCACATAAGCCCCTAAAAGAAAGAATGTATTTCTCTTAAGTTTTTGGAAAGGGATGGTACCAAGCTTGGTATTGAAGAACTTATTTATTGAACACTAGTTATACATGTTGTTGTTAGGTGCCATTGAGTTGACTCCTCCTCCTAACCTAATGAACAACAGATCTGAATCTTGCCCTGTGCCATGCCATCTTCATGATCTTTGATATAGTTAAGCCCACTGTTACAGTAACTTTATCCGTCCATCTTGTTGAAGCCTTTCTTATCCTGTTTATGACCCTCTGCCTTTCTCAGCATGATATATTTTTCTAAGGACTGTCTTCTCCAAAGAACATGCCCAAGTATACGAGATGAAGTTTCACCATTCTTGCCTCTAAGGAGGACCCTGCTTGTGCTTCACTTTCTCCAAAACAAGACTTGTTTATTCTTTATGCTGTCCATGGGATAGTCAATATTTTTGTCCAACACAATTCAAAAGCATCAATGTATATAATACTTGTTTTTATGTCTGAGAAGTAGCAACAATGATTCAGTCTTCTAGTTGTTATAGTTAAATGTTGTTCACATACCTTTCAGTAAAAATAGACTCATAGCTGACCCTCCAGTGGGTTTTCACATGCTGCAATTTGTGCCAGAGAAGATTGCCCCTTCCTCTCGGAGAGCAGCTGGTGGATTGGAACCACCTGACTTTGGCTTGACAGCGCAACTTTTTACCTAGTAGGCCACCAGAACTTTGATAGGTGAAGTAAGCTAATGAAATATAGGATAGAGTTGAAAAGAATTGATTTTAGATCTTAAGTTCTAAGAAACATGGAAGGCTGTTTGAAGAGCCCTGCTATTTAAACATGTCATCTGCTGAAAACTAAAAATTATTTCTTTTCATAAAACTGTCCAACCTCAGCATTTTCATTGTAGCATAGATGAACTGACAGAGTAAGAAAAAGCTAAAGTTGAAGGAAAATGAGAATCTTGAGTGGTAGTTTAAGGTCTTTTTGCCTTGATGTAATTTTGCTGCTCTCCAAGCATGAATGAAACAAAAGGCAAAAGCCTCAAGTCTGCTCTCATTAAGAATCTGAGTAGAGGTCAGTCTGACATTCTGATGGACCCCTTTAAAAACTAAAGCTGAAGGTGAGCCAGAAGTATACCATCCAGATACCTCCTCCTTTTATCTATACTCCAAATTAAGGGATTGTATGTAATGTTAACTGATGTTCAGGAAAAGCTACTGCTGTTGTTGGTGTGTACTAACAAGTCAACTATGGCTCACAGTAACCCTTTGAACAAGAAATCTGAACCATTTTATTCTGCACCATCCTTATGATCTCAGATACGCTCCAGCTCATTGTTATAGTCACTGTGTTAATTGTTCTTGTTGGAGATCTTACTAACTATAGCATGCGCTGCCAAAGGAACAAGTAAGTTTGTCTTTGAGGCAGTATAACCAAGGTGCTCCTGAGTGGCAAGGGTGGTGAAATATTGTCTACTTGCATCATGTCAGGAGGGACCATTCTTTGCTGGGACATCATGCTGGGAAAGGTGGAGGGTCAGAGAGAGAGCAAGCAAAAGCAGAGAGGGCGAAAATCTCAGAGAAGTTGTAATCATAGGCTGACTTAAAATTTACCTTTCTAACTGGTCTTAAAACCTCAATCTGTGGATTAAAATGGTTTGAGGTTGTTAATGACCCTCAAAAATAGCAGAAGTAGAGAGCTCTGGTGGCCTAGTGGCAAGAAGCTGCACTGCAATCCCAGAGATGCGTGGTTCGAATCCACCAGATGCTCTGCTGGAGACGGAGGGGCAATCTCCTGTACCAGTCATATCTGACTTGATGGTGTAAACACACACACACACACACACACACACACACACACACGTGCAGAAATAGGCATAAATCCTCTGGTGAAAGAAATGAATTTCATTGTCGTCTTCACATAATTCTTGAATAAATTTTCAAGGTTTGAATGAAATATCATCAGAAATTATATAAGCACAGAAGCATGTAAAAAAGTAGAATGTGTGAGAAACAACAGACACATGTCCATCTAAATGTCAATTATTGGAATTTATCAGAAACAGTTTATAAAGTAACTGTGCATGTCACACTTAGAGAAATGCCTTATTTTACAATTTCAGAAATGATTTTTAGTTTCCTGTAAGTTGACCAACAGGAAATTCTTGATGTGTTAAAGGAATGAATAAAACCCAACCAATGCCATTTAATCAGTTGTGACTCATGGAGACTCTCCATTGAATTTCTGGGGCTTATAAGTTTATGAGAGGAGATTTCCCTTTTTTGTCCCAGGGAGTGTTAAGCCGGGTTTTCTAGTTATTAATAATGTAATATGATTATATCTATGCACATAAATAAAAAATACATGTATATATAATGGGGAGTTTCCTCATATTAAGCTAGGCAGCCTTCAAAACCTACTGAAAGGTCCTTATCAGTTGGAATTGACTCAGTGATAGTGAGTTTGGCTTGACATATATATTTATACCTAGATTTAGGTCTGTATCTAGGAATGGAAGGATTGATATATATGTGGAGTGAGGTAGCTTGATCAATAACCTGTGTTATGCAAATGATACAATCTTGCTTGTTGAAAGTGAGGGGAACTTAAAAAACAGTTGTTGCTGAAAGATCAAAGACTAATTTCTTCAGTATAGATTACATGTCAACATCAAGAAGACAAAATCCTCACCACCGGACCAATAGGGAACATCATAATAGAAGACTGGAATTGTTAATGACTCAACCTTACTTGGATCCACAGTAAACACCCTTGGCACCAGTAGTCATACACAGCATTATTATACAGTCATTCAAGCAATATTATTCATAATAGCCAAAAAGTACAAACTAAATATCTTATCACTGATTAGTGGACATGTAGAAAATGGAGTAGAATTTAGCCACAGAAAAGTACTTTTCATACAGTATAGTACTCATGAATCTTGAAAATGTGAAGGAAGGGGAGTGAAGGCAGGTTGGCACAAAAGTTCATATGTTATATAATGCTTTTTAAGAGGAATGTTCAGAATAGACAGATCCATAAAATAGTTAGAAAGACATCAAGTAACTGTAAAATGAAAGTTGGTATAATTTTGTTAATCCTGAATAAAATAGACCTTAATACTTAAAACGTTAGTGTACATAGAAAAAAGAACATTGGTAGTGTAATGCAACATGTGCTACCAATCAAAAGACCCATAATTTGAATCTACCATTCACTCCTCAGCAAAAAGATGGGCCATCTCCTCTCATAAAGATTTACAGGTTGAAAATCCTAATGGAGGATCACTAGGAGTTGCACTCGACTCAAAGGCAATGAGTTTGATTTTTTTAAATACATATGAAAACATTACCTCAATAGTCAGAAAGTACATACTCAGTTACAGAAATAAGGCTGGAAATAGAATAGTCAAATTTTATATGTTCTGTGGTTTGCTCAACAAATGCAAGTATTACACATGGACCTCTCTGGATGTACATAAGAATCAGATTGACTGTATATTGTGGAAAGAATCTTGGAGAAGTCCGTTGTCAGCAGTCAGAACCAGGCCATTTGTTGACTTTGTAACAGATCATAATTACTCATGTACAAATTCAAACAGAGGCTGAAGAAAATTAAAAGTCCATGGGAGCCAAAATATGAACTTGAGTCTATGCTATCTTAATTTAAAAACCATCTTTGTAGGTTAGAAGCATTGAACACCAAATGAATTGTGGCATGACATCAAGGATGCCATCTGTGAAGAGACTAAAAGGTCATTTCAAAGATAGAGACTAAAAGGTCATTTCAAAGATAGAAAAAAACATTACAAAGAAATAAAAAACCAAAATGGATTTTGGAAGAAACTCTGAAAATTTCACTAGAGCATCAGGTAGCCAAAACAAAGGGAAGAGATCTGAAGTAAAAGAGCTAAATAGGAGATTTCAAAGGACAGCCTGAGAAGACAAAAAAGCAAGATATAAGTGAGGTGTACAGAGAGCTGGAATTGGAGAATGAAAAGGGAACAACATGCTTGGCATTTCTCAACCTCAAAGAACTGAAAAACAAATTCAAGCCTCAAGTTGCAATACTTAGGGATACTCTGAGTAAAATCTTGAATGACCCAGGAAGCATGCAAATGAGGAGGGAATACACAGAATTACTGTGTCAAAAAGATTAGCCAACACTGAAATATTTCAGGAAATACCCTATGCTCCAGAGACAGTGATAAACCAGGAAGAAATTCAAGCTGTATTGAAGGCATTGGTAAAAAAAAATAAGGTCCCAGGAATTGATGGAATACCAGTTGACATGTTTCAACTAAGAGATGCAGCCCGGAAATGTTAACCAGAGTTTGCTGAGATATTTAGAGGACAGCTGCCTGACTGACTGACTGAAAGAGGTCCATATTTGTTTCCATTCCCAAGAAAGGTAGAACAGAATT